TCTGACTGGGGTAAGATGAAATCTTAAAGTGGTTTTAATTTGCATTTCCCTAATTATTAGTGATGTTGAACATCTTTTAAGGTGCTTCTTAGCCATCTTTACTTCTTTTGCAAACTCTCTGTTCAGCTCCTTAGCCCATCTTTTAATTGAGTTACTTCCTTTCTTGATTGTTTTTTGAGGTCATTATATATTCTGGATGTTAAACCTCTGTCAGATGTGTCGCTGGTGAAGATTTTCTCCCATTCTGTGGGTTTTCTGTTCACTTCCCTGGCTGCCTCCTTTGATGTACAGAAGCTTTTTAGTTTAATGAGGTCCCATTTCTTGATTCTTGACCTTGTTTCTTGAGCAATTAATGTCCAGTTTAGAAAATTCTTTCCTATACCTATGTCTTGTAGGTTTTTCACAATGTTTTCTTCTAACAGTTTCAGAGTTTCAGGTTTTACATTGAGGTCTTTGATCCATTTGGAACTGACTTTTGTGAAAGGTGAAAGAATCTTCTACACATGGAGATCCAGTTTTGCCAGCACCATTTGCTGAACATGCTGTCTTACCTCCAGTGAATGTTCTTGGCCCCTTTGTCAAATACTGAAATTGCATGTACTCATATTTGGGTCTTCAGTTTTGTTCCATTGATCTTATGGGTCTATTTTTGTGCCAGTACCATGTTGTTTTTATGACTATAGCTCTGTAATACACCTTGAAATCTGGTATAGTAATCCCCCCGGCATTGCTCTTAGTGCTCAGGGTTGCTTTGGCTATCTGAGCTATTTTGTGCTTCCATATGAATCTTAATATTTTTTTCCCAATTTTCTGAAAAATGTCTTGGGGATTTTGACTGGCATTGCACTGAATCTATAAATGGCTTTTGGTAGGATGATCATTTTCACAATATTAATTCTTCCAATCCATGAGCATGGAGGTCCTTCCATCTTCTGATGTCTTCCTCATCTCTTTCTTTAAAGATTTAAAATTTTCATTGTAGAGGTCTTGGGTGCCAAGACAAGAAATGGGCTAGTATCTAGGCTAGGAGGAGAGACAGGGTGGGGGAGTTGGGAAGGTGAATTAGGCTGGGAGAGTCAAGGTGCGGTGGGCACCGCTGGACTTACCCAGGAAAGAGGCTGACAGGTTGTGCAGCCCAGGGAAGCAGAGGGAGGTGAGCCACTTAGTGTTTTCACTGTGATATGTCATGGGGGGAGTTTCTTTTCTGATCCTGTCTATTTGGTGTTCTATGTGCTTCCTGTATTTGTATGGGGATGTCGTTCCTTAATTTGAGGAAATTCTCTTCTGCAGTCCTGTTTGAGATCTGGTCAATACCATTATCCTGAAATTCTTCTCCTTCCTCTTTGCCTATGACACGTAGATTTGGTCTTTTCATGGTGTCCCACATCTCTTGCATATTCCATTCCGTTGTTTTTTTAAATTTCCCATAATCTTTGCTTCAGTGGTCCAAGTCTTCTACTTTATCCTTCAGTGTTGATATTCTGTTTTCCATTTCACTCATTCTAGTGGTGAGGCTTTCCCCTGTTGTTCCAAGTTGGCTTGTTGAGTTTTTCACTTCCTTCTTCATTTCTGCCCAAGTTTTCTTCAATGTTTCTGCCTCCTTTGTGAATTCATTCAGAAGTTTATCCCTGTCTTCTTTTACTTCTTTGATTTGTTTCTTCACGTGTTCTTTAAGTTCATTGAATTCCTTGATCGTGTTTATGACTGCTCTTTAAAATCCTGTGTCCTGGGTTATCTCTGGGGTTCTCCCTGTAGAATTCGCCCACAGGACTGGTGGAATGTGGTGGGACACAGTGTTTTGGATTTCCATTTTATTATCTTTCCTTGTGATTTTGGCATGTGAATTTCTTTTGTTGTTTGTGATTCTGATATGAAAATTAAGTTGAAGTTTGCTTCTGTTTGTATTATTGCTGTGCCTTGGTCATTTTCTTATTGGTTATGTAAAGCTGTTTGTTCCAGGTTTCAGGTTCTCTCAGGTTTTATTTTAGAGGGAACAGATGGGTTCAGATCAGCTACTCAGGAGCCCCCACAGAAGCCCCAGTCCAGTTCCAGTCAGGTACACTCAGGCTTCCTTCCAAGGTTTGGACCCCTACTAGCGGGAACTCAGAGCAAAATTTGGGAAGTTCCCTAAGAAGGGCCGATTTTGGGACTCTCAGGTGCTGTGCTGAGTTCTCAGCCCCTATGTCAGAGGAGGCCAGGACAGTCACTCTCTGGTGGTGTGCTGAGTTCTCAGCCCCTATGTCAGAGGAGGCCAGGACAGTCACTCTCTGGTGGTGTGCTGAGTTCTCAGCCCCTATGTCAGAGGAGGCCAGGACAGTCACTCTCTGGTGGTGTGCTGAGTTCTCAGCCCCTGTGATGGCGGTTGGAGCAGGCACCCCTCTTTCTTTTTCCTGATTGCCCTTCTGAATCTTGAAGCACTATACTGCACAGGAACACTGAGAAGGGAGGCCCTTGTCTTTGCCCAGACCGTAGGGGAACCCACTTCAACTCTCCTTCACTCAGCATGATGCTGGTTCTGGGTTTGCCATACAAAGCCTCTCTTAGGCTGAGATATGATTCTTCTACACCTGATTTGTTGATGGTTTTTACTTTGAAGCGATGTTCGATTTTATCAAATGCCTTTTCTACATCTATGGAGAGGATCATGAGATTTTTTTAAAAAATATTTTATTTATTATTTTTAGTTTATGTGTACAAGTGTATTGCCTGCATGTATGTGAGTGCACCCATGTCGTGCAATGCCATGGAGGCCAGAAGAGGGCTTCGGATTCCCCTGGAACTGGAGTTAAGGATGTTTCATAGCCGCCATGTGGGTGCTGGGAATCGAACCCCAGTCCTCTGCAAGAGCAGTCAGTGTTCTTAACCGCTGAGCCATCTCTCCAGCCCAATCATAAGATTTTTAAAAGTTTTTATGTGTATGAACATTTTACCTGCATGTATCAAGTGCACCTGTGACGTGCAGTGCTCCCTGGAGGCCAGAAGCAGGTGTCAGATCCTCTGGAACTGGAGTTAGGGGTGCTGGTTAGCCACCACATGGCTGCTGGGAACTGACCTGAGAGTCTCTGCAGGAGCAGCCAGTGCTCTCAAGCCCTGAGCATCTCTCCAGCTCTGATCGTAGGATTTCTGTTCTTCACTGTGTTGATGTGACATGCTGCATGGGTCGATTTGCACATATTGAACCATCCTTGCATTTCTGAGATGAATTCTACTTGATCATGTGCACATTTTTTTTAAAGATTTGATTTTTTATTATGTAGATATGTGTATCTGTGTGAGTGTATGTCATGTGTCATGTAGGTGCCCACAGAGAACAGAAGAGAGCATTGGATCCCCCGGAGCTGGAGTTGCAGATGATTGTGAGCTGCCTGGTGTGGGTGCTGGAACTGAACTCAGGTCCTCTGGAAGAGCAGTGTGCATGCTCGACAGCTGAGCCGTCTCTCCAGCCCCATGCTTTTTTTTTTTTTTTTTTTTTTTTTTTTTTTTTTGTCTTTTGGAGACAAAGTCTCCCTGTAGCCCCAGCTCACCTGGAACTCACTGTGTAGACCAGGCTGGCCTTGAACTCACAGAGATCCGCCTGCCTCTGCATTCCAAATGCTGGGATTAAAGGCGTGTACCACCGTGCCCAGCAATGTGCTATTGGGTAGTGGGGGGAAACATTCAGATTGTGCGACTTGTATAGCAGTTCCATTATCGCCTGGGATTTTTCCTGGTTTCCACTTGTTACTTAACCTTCTGTCGCAGTCTCAGAGGCTAGTTGGTATCTTTTTGGACTAAGTAGGGGTGAAGATGAGTTACCTTCTTGGAGAAGTTGCTGTTCTCACCCCCGGGCTCTGTGTAACATCTGTGTTCTCAGATATACCTTCTTCCCAAGTCTCTATTTTTAAAAATATGGGACAGCACCACAATGGGGTAGCATTTTGAAGCCACAATTTTCTGGTTGCATTTGAGAATATTGATTGTCCTCTGGCAATTTAGCATTCCCCAAATACCGGAAAAATAGAAAAGGCCGAGATGTCCTTCACATGCGTGTAAGCTGGAAACTTACTGAAAGTGGAATGTTAAACATGACTCTCCCTGCAGGGATTAAAGACTTCATGTGTGAACTGTGTGGGAAGACTTTCAGTGAGAGGAACACCATGGAAACCCACAAGCTCATCCACACAGGTGGGTCTGCAGGCTGCTTCAGGCCGCCCTATAGTCTCCTGAGGCCAGCTGGTCCCACCCCTGTTGTTACTTCCGTATTTGCAGAATACTTAGCACTGTCTTGGTTTAATGGTAGCCCCTTGGCCTCAAGTGTCCATTCTTCGAGTGCCAAGGTCAGTTGTTCATGCTAGTCTTGGACCAATGGTGTTCCGCTGATCTGACCTGGTGCCAGCCCTCTCAAGAGGAGTCAGGGCTGTGGCAGGTGGTGACGGCCCTCTCAAGAGGAGCCAGGGCTGTGGCAGGTGGTGCCGGCCCTCTCAAGAGGAGCCAGGGCTGTGGCAGGTGGTGCCGGCCCTCTCAAGAGGAGCCAGGGCTGTGGCAGGTGGTGCCGGCCCTCTCAAGAGGAGCCAGGGCTGTGGCAGGTGGTGCTGGCCCTCTCAAGAGGAGCCAGGGCTGTGGCAGGTGCTTGCCTTGGGAGGGCTCTGGGGCACTGCCTATGTTCTGCTGATGCTCATGTCTCTTCTCCACCCCGCTTGCATGTGCATGAGAAGTGGGCAAGCAGTGGACGTGCTCCGTGTGCGACAAGAAATACGTCACCGAGTACATGCTGCAGAAGCACGTGCAGCTGACCCATGACAGAGTGGAGGCCCAGAGCTGCCAGCTGTGTGGCACCAAGGTGTCCACCCGGGCCTCCATGAGCAGACACATGCGGCGCAAGCACCCTGAGGTGAGCCAGGCCCCCCTGAGAGCCTCTGCCCTGGTGCACGGTCCTCCAGCAGACCCTGGGCTTCCTGAGATGGCCCTGGTCTTACATCTCTGACTTGAGTCAGTTTTTTTCCCTTTCTGAGACAGGGTCTGATGTGGCCCAGACTGGCCTTGAGCTCACTATGTGGCTGAGGACGACCTTCCATTTTTTTCTGATCCTCCTGCCTCCACTTCCTTGAATGCTAAGGTTACAGACACACGCCACACACCCAGCTTTATGTGGTGCTGAGGATGGAACCCAGGGCTTCATGCACACTAGACAAAGTGCTCTACCAACTGAGCCCCGGCTCCAGTCCGTACCACTTTCTTTCCGTAACAACATGCAAAGAAAAGAATCAGAAAGTTACAAGATCACTGAAAAGGGAAACTGTTTAACATAAAAGTCCCAAAAGAAATTGTGAACAAAATATCCCTAGACTTGAGCATGTAAACTCTGAAAGCTTTTGCTGAGTTTAACAGATGTAAACTTAGTGTCAGCAGTGATGACCACTGGATGAGGAAACCCCAGAGTCTAGGGAGAGCGTTCACGACAGCAGCACAGTTGTAAGATGCTCCAGGAAGCCTCCCACATCCCTGTGCGTCCCTGAAATGCCACTGTGAGCCACAGACACAGCCCTCAGAGCCCTGTCAGTGTCCTGTTGGTTCAAACATAGTTCAGAGAAGGGCCCAGAATGCATCTTTTTCTAGCAATCCAAAGATGCGGCCCCTTGCCACCGGCTTGCCTGGCTGTTGAGCCGAAGAGCCTATGGACAGATCTGTAACCTTCCCCGTCCTGCGCAGTTTCTCCACACCTGGCTTCTTAGACAGCTAACCTTTCTCACACCACCCCAGCTCGTTCATTTCTCTCCGTGTTTGTGTCCTTTGCATTACTTAGGACTTAAATCACCACAGTTAGGAGCAGAAGCAACACACATAAGCAGGTGATGAGTGTCGCAGACACTGGGACTGCTGGGAAGCCGTGTGGGCCCACAGGACGGGTCACAGTGTGGGTGTCGCATGCTAAGGACCCCTGGAGGGAGGCAGTGGAGGGAAGCGGGACGGGTATCATGTGATTGCAAGCTGACAAATGCACGTAGCTGCATGTATTAAGCATACAGTATTCTGTATCGAAAAGCCCCATTTTTGGCGAGTCTTTGGGCAGGCTTACTGTTCTGTGTGTATTGACAGGATGTATTGGCACCTCACAGAAAGCACGTGTCATGGGGGCAATGAAGGGAGGAACCAGCCCTCTCCCGTGGGCAAGATGAGATAGACAGGTGCCAGGAGGCCCCACCAGGCCTTGGAGCACACAGGAAGCCTGCAGCAGGCCTACAGGTTTAGAGGCTGGACCTGGGAGCATGCTGAAATAGTTTCAGAGTTGGTCCTGAACAGAGGAGTCAAAAGCAGAGGCGAGTTCTTCCTTCAAGAGGAGTGACAAGTGTCTGTTGGCAAACAGTCTCCTGCAGGAGGGCAGCTGGGCTCCCGCTGCATCATCAGAGCAGCCCATACGGCAGGCACAGCCATGCTGCTCACTGCCCTGTGCCCCTTGCAGGTTCTCGCTGTGCGGATTGATGATCTGGACCCCCTCCCCGAGACCACCACCATTGATGCCTCCTCCATCGGCATTGTCCAGGTGAGCAGTGCTGAATGCACCTGCGGGGCTAGAGCTCGGGAAGAGAGCTTCAGGCACACCCCGCCATCTTATATGTCATCAGTATCTCACTGGGTTTGGTTGACCTTCTCCCCAGAGCCCTCCAGAGTGTCTCTTAGTTTTTATAGTATTTTATTTATTTTTATTTTATGTGTATGAGTGTACTGCCTTCATGTATGTACATGCACCCATGTCATGCAATGCCCACAGAGGTCAGAAGAGGGTGTCAGATCCCCTGGAACTGGAGTTTGCAGACAGTTGTTAGCCTCCAAGTGGGTGCTAGGAATCAAACCCAGGTTCTCTGCAAGAGCAGCCAGTGCTGTTGACCGCTGAGCCATCTGTCCAGCCCCTTGTTTCTTAGTTTTTGTGTAATGTTGTTCAAATGCTGATGTCTCTCACTTTGGAAAATAGTTTCTAGAAAATTTTGTCGTAATTAAATTATCGTAAGCAAAATTAAGCTCAACCATATTAGGTGGGCCTAGATTTTAAAGACCCTCTACTCAGTATTTTTTCTTCTTTTCTGAGACAGTGTCTCATGTAGCCCAGGCTGATCCTCCTGCCTCCATCTCCAGAGTGCTGAGATCCCACATGTGTATCGTCATGCCTTGCACAGTATTTTTATAACATTCATAACATTTTTCTGCGGTCACAAAGACACTGCGTCATGTTGTCGGGGTTTAAGACCCTTGTACCTGAGTGTTGTGGCATGCTGATGAATTCAGGGGTCTTATCGTGTAGAATGGGCTTGTAGACGCCCACCTGCAGCCCTTCTGCTCAGGTGCTAGGTGAGGTGAGAACACTGTCCGTCAGCACACTGTGGCCAGTCCTGTTGTGTCTGCCTGCCCCAGGAGGGACAAGAGAACTAGGACCACTGAGGGGAGGAGTGGCCGTGACAGGGGTGGGAGAGCCTTGCTAGCTACCCCTGCATGGGCCTCTAGCGTGATCCTGGCCCTGGCCTGTCATGCTGTCGACTCTCAGGGAGCACTCAGGGAAGGAGCAGCACGAACTGTACTTCCTGCCCCAGAAGGAACAGAATGGCCATGGCGTTGCTCACACACTTACATCAGAAGTTGGTCTCCGAAGTGACTCCTTCAGCCTTGGGGAGCAGAGCCCCAACTTGCCAGCATCTTTTGGTCTGAGCACCCTGGTCGGAAGCATTTCCCTTTTCCCAGTGTCTTTAAGAAGTTAACTTTTTAATTATTTAAAATTTTTTAAATTTTATTTTATGCTTCTGAGTGTATTGCCTGCGTGCATGTAAGTGCACCTGTGTGTGCAGTGCTCATCGAGGTCGGAAGAGGACTTCAAATTCCCCTGGAACATGTGGGTGCTGGGAATCGAACCCAGGTCCTCTACAAGAGCAACCAGTGCTCTTAACCACTGAGCATCTCTCCAGTCCGAGAAGTTAATTTTCAAAGATGATTTTGTTGAGTACAAAGTGGGCAGTCTGCGTCCCGTGGCAGCTCAGTGGCCTGAGAGCCACCTCCAGCCTGTGGTTGTGACCAGGGCGGTACAGGACCCTGGCCACCACCTGGGGGTGACTCACTGAACTGGTGTGTTCTGATACCCATCTCCCCACAGCCCGAGCTGGGCCTGGAGCAGGAGGAGCTGTCTGAAGGTAAGCACAGGAAGGCAGCCAAGCGCAGCCACAAGAGGGAGCAGAAGCCAGAGGAGAGGGCAGGGGCACCAGTGCCCGAGGACACCGCCTTCAGCGAGTACCCAGAAAAGGAGCCTGAGTTCACAGGCGGCGTGGGTGACGAGACCAACTCTGCTGTGCAAAGTATCCAGCAGGTTAGTTGGTGCCTTTGCTCATACTAGGTGACAGCTACCTCCATGGACGCAGCTCCCTAGGGCCGAGGCCTGTCACGGGTCCATGTGGGTGTCCACGGGGGACCTCCTCCACACTCACTTGCCATGTTGGTACTGTCTCCTGCAGTCCGTGCCGACCCGTGACCTTCAGATCACATGCACCATTCTTAGTAACAGTGTGCCACCCAGCAGAGCTCCAGGGGCTCCGAGGAGCAGGTCTTCCAGGGCGGGTGGGGAGGAGGCGGGACTGCCACCAGGCCAACCTCGCCGGCAGTCTGCTTTGCTCGGCCTTTGTCGCTTTGCTTTTTGAGGCCCTGGGTCTTTCCTGGGTGTTCTTGGAGATAGTGACTCTGCAGTCAGTGTGCTCACGTCCGTCTGCCGTCCATTGGTGAGAGGAAGCTGCAGCTCTGTCCGCTCTCGGCATCACAGGGTTCTCACATGCCACAAACCCGGGAGGTTGGAGTGTGAGTGAGGATGGAGAGTCGACTGCATAGCTTTTCCAGGCTCACTTTGTGTGTGTGTGTGTGTGTGTGTGTGCGCGCGCGCACGTGTGCATGTGGAGACACAGGTTGATGCCACTGTCTTCTTAGTTGCTTTTCACCTTAGTTTTGAAGTTTTGAGACAAGTTCTCTTGCTGAACCAGGAACGCATCAGTTTGACCTAGGAATCCATCTGTCTTTGTCCCCCTAGCGATAGAGTTAGATGCCTGGATGCATCAGCTGAACTCAGATCCTCATGCTTGCCTGGCAAGTGCTCCACCGCCTGAGCCGTCTCCCCTGGGCTAGGCTCCCCGGCTGGGCTCCCCTGGCCTGGGCTACCCGGCTGGGCTCCCCTGGCCTAGGCTCCCCGGCTGGGCTTCTGGCTAGGCTCCCCTGATCTAGGCTCCCCGGCTGGGCTCCCCTGGCCTGGGCTACCCGGCTCGGCTCCCCTGGCCTAGGCTACCCGGCTGGGCTCCCTAGCTAGGCCTGCTTTGCCCTGGCCTCTTCTGGCCAGGGATGTTTGTTCCATTCTCTTTTGTCTCATTGCCTGGGATGACTGTCATTTTGTTTCTCTTTCCACTGGGCTAATTCTCCAGGACACTTGTGTGCTTTCTTGGTTACCAGCAGAGATACAGCTCCTGCTCCTTGGTCCGAGTGTTGTCCAGTTTGGCACCAGACTGTGGCCTCCAGCACAAGGGCTGTGGGAGGCTGTTCCTCCTCTTTGCAGAAAAAATCCATTGTCTCTTTCTCCATGTGTCTCTTGCAGGTGGTGGTGACCCTGGGAGACCCTAATGTGACTGCTCCATCCAGCTCTGTGGGCCTGACCAACATCACCGTGACCCCCATCACCACTACAGCTGGAACTCAGTTTACCAATCTGCAGCCAGTGGCAGTGGGACACCTCACCACCCCTGAACGCCAGCTACAGCTGGACAACTCCATCCTGACCGTGACCTTTGACACCGTCAGTGGCTCTGCCATGTTGCACAACCGCCAAAATGATGTCCAGATCCACCCCCAGCCAGAAGCCTCGAACCCACAGTCCGTGGCCCACTTCATCAACCTCACCACCCTGGTGAACTCCATCACTCCCCTGGGAAACCAGCTCAGTGAGCAGCACCCTCTCACATGGCGGGCCGTGCCCCAGACAGACGTGCTGCAGCCACCACAGCCCCCCTCAGCCCCGCAGCAGGCAGCACAGCCCCAGGTGCAGAGCGAGCAGCAGCAGATGTACAGCTACTGAGCTGCAGCCGTAGAACCCGCCCGAGCTGCCTGCAGGGCTCTGGGGCCTTGAGGTTTGCTTGCTGGATACCAAACGGGAACGGTGTGCACTTGGCGGTGTCACGGAGGTGGGCTTAGCTTTACAGAGTCAGCTCTAGGTTCCCAGCAGTGCCACAGCCCGTTGGCGTAGCTGGCGATGGGACCTTTGGCGGGCAGGAGCTTAGGAGTTCCGCCTCACCAGGGTGCTGTGGCCTGGCCGGGCCACACTGTTGCCCTCAGAACTGTGTGATTGTCACAGGACTCAGGGACACAAAGAGAGGCAGGGTCCTAGAGGCCAGTACGATGTCCTGCGGGCCAAGGCCGTTTGTCTCTGTTTCTTCAGCAGCTCATTTTTCTAGTAGCATAAATAGTATTCACGGCTGCACAGACGAGCCCAGGTCTCCCCTGGCTCTCGGTTTTGTCGGCAGCAGGCGGGGCGAGGTGAAAGTCAGGCCTTCTCCAAAATCTGTGGCCTGGGCAAGGGATCACATGAGCCCCCAGCTCCGGCACCAAAGGCATCTTGGGAATATCCATCAGCTGATTTTCAATATGGTCTTTTCATTTTGTTTCATACCTGTCTTATGTATTCAAGACTTTCTTGTGGCCAATATTGATTTTTATTGTATTTTAACATAAAGTCGTTTGCACTGTAGGGCTGTTTGTCCATGTCCAGCTGTGCACAGCTGCCTGCGTGCAAAGGCACATGCAGTTGTGTGCAAGGAGCCAGCCTTCACGCTCGCATCCTGAGGCTCCTCTAGCGCCGTCTCAGGACTCTGTCATCCAAGCCTGTTATGACTGGCGTGCACACCCTGAACAGAGGACACGGAAGGAACCCGGTTTTTTCTTTCTGTTGTAAGCCTTCATTCCAAAGGTTGATGTGTCTGAAGAGCAATTTCCTTACGAAGTGTGGTTGAGTGTGGCTCTGCAGAGGGACTTCTGTGGGTGGGGGTGAGAGCAACAGAGGTCAGTGTGGCTGTGGAGGACAGTGCTTCCCAAAGCCCTGAGGGGACACAGCCAGTACATGTGTGTGCCATCCCAGAGGCGATGGACTAGGCTCTTCTGGTGGCCATCTGCCATCACCAGCACAAGGACGCAGACAGGTGCAGGGGGAGACGTCTGGTTTTGCTCCCCTAATCTGTTTTTAACACCATGCAAAGTGCAAGGGGAACTTGCTTTACTTTGTCCTTGACCTTATGTGTCCTGGATGTGGCGGGACTACTGGCAGCCCACCCTCAGCAGGCAGAGGAGGCTGCACCAGGCTCGGGCAGCTTGTGTCAGACAGAACACAGCCCTCAAACCCTCCCTGCGTCCACGCTTACATCTCAGTGGAATGCGTAGTGGAATTCTAGGACTTCCTAATTTATGACAATTGTTTTTATGTTATTTATGTGTATAATTAACTACTTTTACACAGTACTTTTATCATTGAACTTGGGCTAAGGATGAATTATTTTCTAAAATATTGCCTCTATTCTCCAAATATATATAGTCCAGGTAGCCATGGAAACAGCAGAGGACTGGGGGCTCTTACCATGTTTTTAAAGACCAATGACCGTCCCTCTCTGCCTTTAACATCAACTCAAAGAAAGTGAGCAAAGTCCAAACAGGTCCAAACAAGCCTTGGGCTCGATTGAACATCTACTAGTGTTTAACTCTTATTCTCTTCCCTGTGAAATAAAGGCCTTTGAAATCACGTTTTGGTTTGTTTTTTTTTTAGAGACACCACTTTTGTGCCTGGAGCTAGATTGTTTCAAATGGGAAGTGTGCTGCCCATGTTTGCTTAAGTATACAGAGGCACGTGGAGGCTTTCCATATTAGGAGTAGGACCTCCTATTCAGTCAGCTTTTCTCCTAGGTGTCTGGGGATGCTTGCATGGTCTGACCAGGGTCATTGACTGAGGCAAAGCAGGTTGTCTTAAAGTAGTTGCTACTTATTTGCATATGAGAAACTGGCTAGCAGAATGAAGGTACCACTAAGCCAAAGGTGTCCTCCGATGTGTGTGGCTGTACCACTAAGCCAAAGGCGTCCTCCGACGTGTATGGCTCTGCATTTTACATTCCCTTGGTTATTAGTATTTGATTTTTTTAAAAAAGTGATCCAAGGTGCACAGATACACATGTGCCTGACAAGCCCCGCCTGTGACTCTGTCTTGGTTCGTATAAATGAATGCATCACGGGAATTTGTCTTCACCTTGTGATTGGTTAAACTGTAGGGTCACATGTCACATGGGTGGCATGAATCTTGCAGGTGGAGTTCAGGGCTCCGCCCTTGAGGACGGTGGAAGTGAGTGACGTGTTCTCTCAAGAAAAGGCTCTGCCAGGTGTCCCCTCCTGTGGGGCATGAAAGCACTTTGGAGAGCGCTGCGTGGGGAAGGCCAGTCTTTCTTGGTCTACTCTTTTCCCGTTCAGCATCCAAAGGTGGAGGTTTGCAGCTCCTCACCCCCGAGCCCACTTCTGTGACCCTTGTTCATTTCAAGGGGCTAAGACCATTTTGCCATGCTGAGGGTGTTTCATGTCACATTGTTTGTATAATAGTGAATAGAAGGTGCTGTGACCTGTGCTTTCCATTGCTGGCCTTCTGCTCACCTGCTGTGATGAAAGTGTTGAGTGTCCTTTGAGGCTGGTTCTGACCTGCTGGGGGGTAGGGTAGCATCTCCATTTCCCTGTGGTCCCGAATTGAGTGTGTTTGGACCATTGAAACACTCTAAGATACTGAGGTGTCAGAAACTTTCCCAGGGCTTACAGAAGGGCCACAGAGAAGGTGCTTGTGGGCCTCTTTGTGAAGCTGAGGTCAGAACAGGCGCTGGCAGCAGTGGCTCAGCCAGGCTTCCTGCGGGGGCGGGGGGAGGGGGCAGAGATCACAAATGGTCCTTTCCTTGATCAAACATTAGATTATTCTAAATGTGCTGAGGGTGGTTCTTGTGGATTGTTGTTGGCTGGTTGTTTCATTGGTTGGCTGGCTGGCTGGCTGGCTGCTTGGTTGGTTGGTTGATCTGCTGGTTGGTTGGTTGGCTAGCTGGTTGGTTGGCTGGCTGGTTGGTTGGTTGGCTGGCTGGCTGGCTGGTTGGTTGGTTGGCTGGCTGGTTGGTTGGCTGGCTGGTTGGTTGGTTGGCTGGTTGGTTGGCTGACTGGCTGGTTGGTTGGTTGGCTGGTTGGTTGGTTGGCTGGTTGGTTGGCTGACTGGCTGGTTGATTGGTTGGCTGGCTGGCTGGCTGGTTGGTTGATTGATGACTTTCTTGAGACAGGGTCTCATGGCCTGGGTTGGTCTCAAACTCATGCAATGGAGGGTGACCTTGAACTCCTGATTCCTGCCTCCATCTCCCAAGTGCTGGGATTGTAGGCATGCACCTCCATGTCTGGTTGAAGCTGTGAAACGCCTTGGTTATCTAGCTTTCCAAGGGTCTGGATTGCAGGGACTACATCTTAGATACTCTGGTGGCTAGCTCTCCTAGTAAGTCAGACCCGTTCATTAACCCTAACAGGTAGGAGCCCTTCCCATTGGGCATCAACTTGTATGTCTCTTTACACAGACCCACCTCTCAAAGTGCTCTGGTGGGAGAACCAGTGCGGATGGTCCATAACCTCTACACCTATCTCACCAGCACCACTGTGTTTCTTTTGGAGTGTAAACTACCATGTGGTGATTTTTCTCTGCTCTTAGACAGGTGGTGAGATTCCTAACAGAGACTACTCTGGAGGAGAGATTCAGTGGTTCCCAGTTTCAGATGGTGCCCATCCATCATGGTGGGGAAGGCATGGCGGCTGGAGCAGCTCCATCTGTTATGTCAGGAGCATGTACGGTAGCTTTTGCACATGATCCTGTGGGGACGGTGCAGACCTGAACCATGACACACTTGTCCCTGGTTCCCATGGCCACCTCATAATGCAAACTGTATTCAACATTGAGTTCCTTGGTCTTTACAGTCCCAACATTGTTCCAAAGCCATCTCTTAGATGTGAGCCTATATAAAACAGAGTAATGTTACACACTCCAGTGCTCACTGGTACAGAGCAAATCTCATCCTAAGAGGATGGGAGGATGAGGAAATAGCAACACAGCCAGGCAAGCAGTGAACTCCACAGCTCCGTCCCCAGCATTTGGGGCACCTGGTGGCATCACCTGAGCCCCAATAAGCCCCACTCCTGTTTTCCACTTACAACACATATGGCTTCTCCTGGGCCAGCCTCACTCAGTACTTATCACTCTGACAGATGTCTTATTTTCCTAGAATCTCCAACATATGGGGGACCCCACTGCAGCTAAGACTTTGTCTTTGAAGATTCACGCACAGCCCGCTCAGGAGCTCCCTGTAGGAAATCCAACCCTCTGGGCCTCCTAGGCTTTTCTCTGGAATCTTGGTGTAAGCCTCCATGATCCCGTAACACTCAAAACCAGCACCACATGAAAAATGACAAGTTCTGCTCCCATTCAAGATGTAGCCAGGTTCCTTTGGGCCATGACCACAGCAGCCTCTAAGTGCCAGAAACACAGAACCTGAGCTGTTAGAGGTGGAGAAGGGACAGTTCAGATACAAACCTTTCCAGGCCCTAATCAAGTTATTGGTTATGAATCTGTCTGCTCATTCAGCAAAAGTAAAAGCTCAAAGAAAAAGAACCAGGGGACCCACTGGCTCCTTTCTGCGTGGCATGGTGCGTAGTGTCAAAAGTACTGTAGATCTTGGTTCAAATGAACTTCCTGGTCTGGCAGTGTAAGCAGGATTACATGGAAGAAGGCCAGACGAAGAGCTGGCTAGACCCAGCCTTCCACCCAAACTTTACGTTCCATTTCTTGGCCAGGGACTAAGCTACCCTGGCTCTTGAGGCGCTCATATACAGACAGCTGGCATTCTCAGTGACCCAGAAACATGCAGTGCTGGTGCCTTGGGCCCCAGCAGCCTGGCTCCTCCCTCCTGGCAGTTCCAGCTCCACAAGAGGAAGACACCCAGGTGAGGGTGCCCTTTGCTGCAGCACGGACCCCTCTGTGCCTCCAGGAACACACCTCTAGGCAGAGAGAGGCTGGGGCCCCACAGCCGCTTCCTGAACACAGCCCGTTCCACACAGGTGCCACCCAGCTTCTTCCAGTCGCTGGCAGTTGCTCCTTGTGTGACAGCCTGCAGTTTGGCCCCAAGTCAGCTCCCTTCCTCTCCAGAAGGTAACAAAGCTGCTGCCACACCAGGAGCCAGGTTTTAGAACCTACCATGGGTAAAACATTATCAGATCCATGGATGGAGTGCCAGCTGTGATCTGGAGAGCCCCAGGGCCTTTACACTTTGCTGTTTCTTGGATAAACAGCAGCCCACCTCTACCCAGTATCTCAAAGGATGATCAGCCTGACCACATCCAGCTCATGGAGTCACAGTCTTCCTGCCCAGACCTGGCCCTCCCACTGTCCACATCCTCAGCCCATCGTCCACCTGATTTGTACTTTGTTCCCAGCATCAGCCCAGAGGAGAGCTGCTCGCTGCCTGACATATGAGTGCTTGGCGTCAGTGACCCTCACAGGAGTGCACGTGCCATGTGTCACCCACCTACCAAGCCCAGTGCCCCCTGCAGGGCCCTCAGAGCCGTATGACTGTCACCATCCCTGCAGGTGCTGAGGCTGTGGGAAGGCTCTGTGGTGTCAGTGTAGGTCTGGTGGCATTCTGACGCCAGGTGACCTCTGCAGTCAGCAGTCTCTCCACAGCCCAGGGTCCATGGTGCCCACCCACCTCTTCCCACTGGCCATCTCAGCCCTCCAGAGCTTTGAACTTGCTGCTCACGCTGAGCATCTGTCCTTGCTCCTCCCCTCAGTTAATGCCTCCGTGCCCCTTGGATCACGTCTCAAGCGTGTCTTCTAGGAATCTCTAGATGCTCCTTTCCTACTCTGACAGCAGATGTATGTTTTCCTCACAGCACTGATGACCGACAGTCACACTAAGTACTCACCAGGGAGCTGGGCTGTGTAGATGCTCCCCCTGCCCCAAGGGGAGCTGTGCGAGGAGGGGCGCCGTCCTGCCTTACCTCAGCGTTTCCCCCAAGCTTCCCTCCGTGAGCCTGATGGAGAGGACCCACAAGCAGTGAGTGAGGGGAGAGCTGGCTGCACCTCACCAAGGGTACCCATGTGTGCGTGTGTGTGTGTGTGTGTGTGTGTGCGTGTGTGCGTGTGTGCGTGTGTGTGTGTGCGTGTGTGTGTGTGTGTGTGTGTGTGTTGACCATACTATGTATGGGCCCTGTGTGTGTGGTGTGTGCACGCATGTGTGTATGTATATGTGTGAGTGGTGTGTGTGCATGCATAGATGTGTGTGTTGACCATACTGTGTGTGTGTGTAATGTGTGTGTGCGTACATGTATACATTTATGTGTGTGTGGTGTGTACATGCGTAGGGGTGTGTGTGCGTGTGTGTTGACCATACTATGTACAGGCCCCATGTCTATATATGGTGTGTGTGTGCATGCATGTGTATATTTATGTGTATACATGTTGTGTGTGCATGTGTGTGTGTATTGACCATACTATGTATGGGCACTATATGTGTGGTGTGTGTGTGCATGCATGTGTGTATGTATATGTGTGAGGTGTGTGTGTGTTGGCCATATTATGTATGGGCCCTGTGTGTGTGGTGTATGTGCACACGTGTGTATGTATATGTGTGAGTGGTGTGTGTGTGTGTTGATCATACTATGTATGGGCCCTGTGT